ATGATGTGTCAAGAATAAGCTGCAAGAACTCCCAAACCTGCGAGAGAGAACAAATTTCTCTGTTCTTGCGGAGTATGTAAAGGCCTTAAGTGTCTCAAGAAAACCCAACTTGCAACCAGCATGGCATTAATTGGATTTGAAGTTGACAAAAGGGATTTTTTAACTGGCTGTAAGTGACGCAATGTGCCATTTGGAGCTGAACTTTTAACAAATGCCAAGTTTCTATTTCTTTCTGTTGCTTTGTAAGTGCCACAATGGATGAAAAACAGTCGACACATGAGGTTTAATGTTAATAATAATAATAATACATTATATTTATAGAAGGCTTTTCAAGGTACTAAAATACACTTTACATTGGTTAAAAAGGATAATAGATAATAGACTACTCAGGTTTGGTCCTGAGTGGTGGAGTCGGGAGGTTGGCATCAGAGGAGTGGAGGCTGCGGGAACGAGTGTGGTGGTGGAGCAGGTCAGTGAGGTAGGAGGGGGCCTGGTTATGGAGGGATTTACGAGCGAGGAGATTGACTTTGAAATGGATGTGTTATGAGACGAGGAGCCAGAGGAGGTTCTGGAGGACAGGGGTGATGTGATCGTGGGATCAGGAATGGGTGAGCAGACGGGCAGCAGAGTTGTGGACGTATTGGTGTTTATTTAGAAGTTTGGATGGTGCACCATAAAGATGCTGTTACAGGAGTCAGTTCTGGATGTGATGAAGGCGTGGATGAGAGTTTCAGCAGCAGTGGGGGAGAGTGATGGAGTTATCTGTAAGAAACCTTATTTCACTGCAAAAACCTAAATAAGTTGGCATCTGGCTAAAGGGGGGATTGCCAGGTTGCTGAAAGTTTCTGGTAAGGTAAATGACCATCGTTGATAATAAACTAGGATACTTGCTGGGGGGTATACTGTATGTAACTTTAAGTAAATATCACAATATAAGATGTGCGTTTTCTGTTTGAAAAGTAACAAGGATAGCAAGTACTCATCCATCTTTTAAGTGTGTACGTCTCCAGTCTGATCCAGAGTGCACAGCTGATAGATAGCATACAAGTTTTTTTCTGCATGATGTAACAAGTACATATTTAATGGATTCAATGTGGACAGAGAGCTTAGCTGTTGTGCAACACAATAGTCAGACGCTAGTTTGCTGTTAGGACACAATGTCATTATGTTCCACTCAGTAACGGCTGCTGAATCAAGTGCAGCACCCACAAGTAAAATTCAGTATACATGTCCAGTCAGGCTCTTAATATCAAACCAGTTTGAAAATTTTTACACTGAACCGAACCTAATTAACACACACATGTGAGGCCTAAATGATCCTGGCTATATCCTGGGGAAAGCAGAGGCAACACTTTGTACTTTCTTTTAATGAAGAGCTGAAGAAAGAAAAAAAAGAGCAAACTCCTCGCTGATCGTTCCATAACACACTACACCTGGCAGAACATCAATACCCAATCTGCACACACACACACACACACACACACACAAACACACACGGAGGTGTTTTTAGCACAAACGGCTGCGTTCTTTCTAAAGGCGATGAAAGGCTATAAATTCGAATGAATATGATGTGATTAGTTAATTATGTGCTTTCAGGAGGAAATTGAGGAGCGCTCGCAAATGTTTGGCGGAGAGGACGAGTTGGAGAGGCTGCGTTCTGCCAGTGTGTGTGTGTGTGTGTTTGAAATGTGGATGGCATGAAGTCGCAACAAGAAGTGCAAGGGATTCATCGAGTGTGTGTGTTTGCGGCGGCACTTGACAAACAGAGACCGAACGAGCTAATATACAGCGAGAGTGCGTGTGGTCGGTTTTATTGGTAACCCCTGTTATCTTTCAGTGTTGCAGGGATAATTCTGTATGGCAGGTGTCCAGATGATGGCTAGTGATAGCAGTGTGTGTGTGTGTGTGTGTGTGTGTGTGTGTGTGCTTCTCTCTTGACCACATCTAACACCCTGGGCTGGAAAGTAATATTCTCCTTCACTGGAAACATACATGGGCTTAAAAACACACGTACACACACGCACACCACACATCCAAACACCTCCCTAGGTGGATGGAAGGCTGTGAGTAGTCAGACCTCCTCTCAGTCAGGATCAATCCCATCAACTGTTTTATCTGCCGCTGTGACAAACAAACACAGAAAAGCACGCACCACCCCTGATCAGAGCTGAAATCAGCCGGTCATCATCACGGCGTCCCTCACCACTTGCCATGCCCTGAAACCAGCTTTGTCACACACACAAACACACAGACGTGCACACACACAAACGTGCACACACAGAGTGACACACCACACACAACACAGGCCCCGTGCGGAGATAAATGTGACCAGCAGTCCTCACCCCCAGCAGAAGAAAATCCAATTCTCTTTCACTTTTATCCCTGAGACTAATGTTACTGTCAGAGAAGACACCACCACCAGAGACCAGGCGACTCTGTTTGTGTATGTCCCTGTGTACGTCCTTGTGTGTGTGTGTGTGTGTGTGTGTGTGTCTGTGTCTGTGTGTTTGCTGCAGTGAGATAGTGAATTCATTTAAGGTGATGTATTGCTGTCTTTACCTACAATCCCACTGTAGGCCTCGGTGGTGTTGTTCCTGCCTTTCCATGACAGGCTTTTGACCCCTCCTCCTCCTCCTCCTCCTCCTCCTCTCTCCTCTCTTCCTCATCCTCCTCATCCTCTTCTTCCATCCTCACTTCCCCTTTCCTCCTCCAATCCATCTTTTTCCCCCTTTTATCTGTTAACCCTGTGCTTCTTTTGTCCAATTTCATTTAAAAAGTCTTTAATCCTTGATTTGTTTTCTTTCCCATTTTACTATTTCTTTCAATTCATTTCACAATTTCAATTTCTAGTTTAGTAAAACTTTATTGGCATAAAAAAATTCATTAAAAAAACATGGTCAAAGCATTTATTTATTTATTTATTTATTATTATTAACAGTGGCAAAAGAAAGTATGCTGATTTTATTTATGATAACTTTGTTGAAGTCTGTTTGTTGAATACATGCATTTGTTTTCAGTTGTTGGTCAATTTACATTCCTTTTCTTACTTTTTTTTTTTGCAAGTACTTGAATACTTTATAACAACCTAATGCCAGGACTTGACCATGAAAGTTATATATATACGCATTAGGGCTGTCAAGCATTTAAAAAATAATCTAATTAATTAGATTATTTTTAATGTGCTCTGTGATTAATTAACTTTTGCTGTGAAAGTACTTTAAAAAATTAAATTCAAATGAACGATGACAGATGTGTCATAGTAAAAGCAGCTGGATTTTGGACACAATTGTCCACGTCTGTTACCACTGAGATTGCTCTGCAGTCCATTGAAATCCATTTTGCAAGGGAATTATTTTATTGGTCACAGGTAGACTGACTCAGTTTGCATCTAAACGCCTGGTCAAGTGTGGGTTGGTAAGGCTGGCTGCTAGCGCTCGCATGTGAGGCTGTGCTAGCTCAGACCTCCGGGTTTGCTGCTAAATGCTTTGCATTGAGGTGATATTTCAGGCTTGAACTTCTCCAATGGTACGAAAATTCCTTACTGCAGAAATCGCAGAGAACGGTTCTATCTTGGTGTTTTTTTAAAATGTAAATGTTAGATTAATGGGGCCAAGCAGCGTCATCTCTTCTGCCTGCATCATGTCATAAAACCACTGTGGCCTTTGATGATGCACCGGGTCAAAGGTCATCACAGACAGTGATTAATCAGTGTAATTTTTTGTCACGCATCATTTTTTGTGTGATTAATTAATTGAAATTGACATAACGGCCCTAAGTAACACCTCAAAGGAAGCCAATGGAAAGAAAGCAATAAGGAATTTGAACGAGCCAACTGAGGTTGTTAAAGAACAGTGTTCTTTGATTAAAGGTCCAGTGTGTAGGATTTAGTGGCACCTAGTGGTGAGGTTGCAGATTGCAACCAATGGCCCTGTAGAGCTGGTGTTTGGTATGCTCAGAAATACTGCAGTAACAATATGGCAGACTCCATAGACGAGGACCATGTCCATATGTAGATATAAATGACTCTTTCTAAGCCAACGAGACTACAATGATTCTTATTTTCAGGTGACAGCACACAAATGAAAACATGTTATGAATATTATATTCTATTTCTGGCAGTATATCCCCCTAAATCCTACACACTGGGCCTGTAAGAAAAGATTCTATATGAAGACACTCTCTGTCTCCACTTCTTCAGTTTGCCTCTTGCTCTCTTGTGCTGTCTTTATCTCTCCCCCAGGTTTTTTCCCAGCATCTCTGAGGTCTGATTGGAGAAATGTGACCTATTCATCACAACTGACATAGTCTGTGTGTTTACAAGCTATGCACACACACACACACACACACACACACACACACGCACAAAAACCATTTGTAGTGCACATCGTGTGTTTGCTTGTGATTTGCAGAGCTCAGCTGTAGGGGGGTGGTACCCAGGGAGAACCCTGTAAAACAGGGACAACTGCTGTTTTTGGTGTGCAAGTGTGTGTGTGTGCATGTGTACATGTGATTGCAGGTACTTTGTTAATCATTTGTAAGCCCCACCAGATGCCATGCAGGGGACCATAGTGCGCGGGGCCTGTCAGTCAACCACCCCTTCATCACACAAACATGCACACAAATACACACTCATGCAGGTGCAGGTGCACATAGCGATCCAACCACAACCCCCTTCCCCTTGAGGCTGATTAGTATTCATGAGATCTCAGGAGGCCCCCTAATACACACGCTCACACACACACACCAACACACACATATTCTGGTGGATTGGTCCATTCTAATTATCTCCTGGCGTTTATGGAGAGGGCTGATTAGAAGCTGTCAGTGTGACTGATGACGACATGCCATGTTATCCCCCAGAGAGAGGCAGGGAGACAGAGAGGGAGGCTGGTCACAGCTGTGGACTCCACTACTTCTCTGTCCTCGTCTCTTTATAGTTTGTGTCTTTCTTCCTCGTGATTCTGCTCCACTAACAGCTGCCTTATTGTGTGCCTCCGTAGGTAAACCAGTGATGATCATAACGGAGTTCATGGAAAACGGATCTCTGGACACTTTCCTCAAGGTGAGTCACGGCCCAGCTGGAAGGAACACGGCGCACACATTTCCACCAAGGTCAGGGCCTCAAGTCTTTGCAAAAGCCACGTGGAAAATGATGTCCCAGTTGTAGAGTGTTTGAAATTGAAGAGTTCATTGCCCCAAAATTGCTGCATGGAGGGCACATTCTTTCAAAAATATATAAAAGGTCCCTGACTTAAATTGTCTTTAATCTGAAGCTAGAGAATTCAATTTGTAAAAAGTCTTACACCAAGGACTTTGGTTAACAAAGATCCATTTAAACAAACACTATTTCAGCACGCAAGAGTTTTCTACCTTGTTTGAGACACATTTTCATGTGTAGTCACCTTATTAAAGAAGTATTTTACAGCTGGACAGATGTTCTTTTGTGCTTTTTGCTACATGACCAGAGGAAACAGACAAAGGGCAATGGCTTTGCTTTTGCTCAAGAGGTAGAAAACCAACTACCAGAATGCACTGCGCCGCACTGGACCACTAAATGCTCCCGCTGGTTGGGGACATTATGTGATTTGCTTGTCTGAACACAATATGGCGGCCAGCGGGTAGCAAATAATCTTGTACTACAGTTAAATAGTAACCCAAAACATGTTTCTGAAAACAAAAAAGTTATAGTTCATATTTTATCAACACTGCTTAGTCTAAGTGTTTGATCTGAGTTTTTCAGCCTCTGTTTTCACAATACGGGAAACAGTATGGCACCCACTTCCTGTTCACAAATTCTCAAATTGCAGCCAAACAGTACAGTAAAATATGTTTCTGAACATACTGTAGGCAATACAGTAGCAGAATCTTGGTTTATATTTGATCAACGCTGCCTAGTTTTAGGGTGCTTTCACACCTGCCCTGTTTGGTTCAATTTAACTCAAGTTCATTTGCCCCCTAAGTGCAGTTCATTTGGGCAGGTGTGAACTCAGCAGTCACACTCGGGTGCACACCAAAACAACCGTAACAAGAACTTCTTGAAGAGGTGGTATCGGTCTGATTACAAATGAACTCTGGTGCGGTTCGTTTGTGGTGAGAACGTGTTCCGACCTCAATCTGAACCAACTGCAGTCACATGACACATTGTTTGGGTTAAACATGGGATGTTACAGTCCTGGAGGATTATTAATATGCACCTCCTCCTGTACTGCCTTAATATGCACATTCAACACATCCAATGCATCAAAACATTGTTTTCTAGTTGGAGCCGCGCCTCGTTTTCAAACTGTATGGTTTGACTAAAATGAACAATGACAGCAATATAGTCCACGAAGAGCAGCGCTAAAATCAACCTGTGTAGTTGTCCCTCCATTGTGACATTAGAAAGTGTCACATTTATCTTGCAAGTGTACTCTTCTTCAATGTTTTGTTTACTTCCTGGATTTTTCCCGCATGGAAATTTTGACCTATCAAGAGCAGCTTTCTCGCACAAGGTATTTTATCTGGTCCGTTTATAAATGCTGCTGTGAGAACACGAACCAACTCTAGACAATTATGCAACTTTTTAACAAAATTCATCCCTGATTCAGATTAAAGCAAGACAACTCTAGGTCTGAAAGCACCCTTAATATTCAATCTGACTTTGGTCTGAGTTTGAGAAAGAGGAAGAGAGGGGCGAGTCTCTCTTTCTAGATCTGCCTCCATACTCTGTGTCCGTGGCAGGCACACAAAAAGTAGGATTTTAAAATCCGCCGATCAAGCAACAGCCCAAGAGCCAGGGAGATCTGTGCACTGGCAAGATGGAGGGAAGTTTACCATAGTTAATTTACATTTACTACCCACATTGTTATTATACAAAGCTGGTTGAAAATCTGTCTCCTTAGGAGTGTAAAAGATCACACATAATTTCTTGTGTGAAGCTAGGAACGACAACATCTGACAATTGTCAACATAAAAGGCAACACATCTCCACTAAATGGCACAGTGTGCGTAGAAGAATAGTCGTCATCTTTAATTATGCATTGTGAGAGTTGAGCTTAAGTGAAGCTGTAAAAGGAATCAAATCACTGCTGTCTTTGCTGCCAGAAAGATACCATTAATATACAGAACATACATGTAGGTAGTCAGGATATATTAAGTACACAGAGGCTGAACTTTTTCTCTGGTAGGCATGGACACAGAAGTGGATGAGAACAGAAACATTCAGACAGATGAGTGGCCTCCCCATGCTTTCATCACATGATGTCTGATACTGGGTCTATGAAATGCACTTAGTGTCCATATCCCAGAGCTGAAAACAGCAGCAGACTGCTGACAAATGGGCACTAAAGCAAAGAAAGTGTATTGCTTTGTGAGCAACATTTGTTCCATCAGGGGGATACAAAAAATGAACAGTTCATTTCAAGTGCAATGTAATACCACGAAAGTCAGGATAGCAACTGAGAGCAACACTGAAAATAACCTCCAAAATGCCAAAAGGAATTCCACTTAATCATGAATGAACAGAGAAATAGAGTCAGGTGAAATATTTCCTAAGACATTTATTATGCTGATCAAAATGATCTCAGTAAAGAGACTGTTTTAAAAAAAATACCGTTTGTAGAGCAAGCAGTAGAACAGAGTTTAAATCCATGCCAGGATATTACAAAATTAAGTCCTGAAAAGCAGATTCTACTGAAGGTTATTGCTCAAACCCTTATCAGTGAACAGATTAAAAAAAAAAAAAAAATCAGTGGAAGGAAGTCTGTGGAGGTAATGCTTTGTTATTGAAATCGACATTATGGCAAGCATTAGAGGAGCCTGTCACTCAGTATGTTATTACGTGAATTGATGTTTTTAAAGAATTAGTCCTAAAAGCCGTCCTCTGAAACATATCACAGACCTGTAGACGTATTAAGTCTATTTAGGGAGTCTATCTCAAAATTGACTTATTTAAGTATTTCTTAAAATGCCAATTACATAAACAAAAGTATGGATCTTTATTTAATTGCAGATGCAGAAGACGAGCTTTTATGTTGTAAATGTTGATAAATGTGTGATTCACAATCCCACTGAATACAAAAATATGCGGCAGAAGTAGCAAACGTGGCAGTATTGATTGAGCTGAGGAGCCTCGAATTGGGTTTCGCAGACACCCAGATGAATAGCTTGTTGCAGCCGTGGTGTGCCTCACATTGAAAGTCCCCCTGATTCATATTCAGAGTTGTTTGTCAGCCAGTAAAATCACTGCAGTGCTCCAAAGCCATTAAGCCTGTGATGATAGGCCCGTCGCTAAATAGACACCAATCCCATCAGCAACACTGAAGCAAAATGAAATGAAATCTGACAGATAAAAAATGGCCTGAAACACACACACAGACACAAACAAAATCCACACACACACACGCATGTTGTGTGTTGGAGTATGTATTGTAATGAGGGTCATAAAGAGTGTCCGCAGTGGCTCAATATAATTATGGAATTTTATGGGTTTTACAGCTCAGCCGTGCTCCTGGCATCCATATGTGTCTTTAATTATGCTGACCATTTATTAAGCAGTTGTCCCTCGGAAATAACAAAACCACCTTTCCTGTCGGAGATGCTCTTCCCCTCTTCATCTCTTGTTTCTACCTACTGTATAGCAGCCTTTCTACGCTTCCCTTACTAAGTATCTCCTTTTAGTTTTCTGGTAAAAACTTAAGTAACATAACAGAATTTGTCAAAAAGTCTCATTTTTCCACCATCACCTCTGTCATCTGTCTCCTTCATCTCCTTGTCTAACCTCTCTGCCCTGCATTTGTCTCCTCTCTCTTTCCCTGCCCTGCCCACCCTTCCTCCTCCTTCCTGGCAACGCAATGTGGTGGGCAGATTGATAGAGGAAGTCTGTAGGTTTGTTAGACAGTCCAATCAATCAGCATCTCACAAAACCACCGGCTAATTAACTTACTCCACAGCTGCCGAGGGAGTGAGAGAGAAAGAACGATAGAGAAAGGGGAGGAGGGGGGTGCACAGATGCAGAAAGATGAGGGAAGATAGATAGATGGAAAGTGAGTCAAAGTAATACAGAGTTCTCTCTCTGAGACTGAGACTGAGACTGAGGACAGGCAGAGATGGATGGAGGGAACTAAGAGACAGAGGGAAGGAGAGATGATATAAAAAGGAGAGGGTGACTGATAACATGGATGGCTTTTTAACGGGGACCGTTGGCCCAGGGCAGAAATAATTGGCAGAGGAAGGTGAGCTGGACCGTCATCGATCAACAGGCGCCGCTCTCTGCCAAAGACAGCTCAAATCTGAAATCCAGTGAGTTCTGCTTGCACACACGGTCAGTGTTAGAGAGGAAAGTTTTGTCTGCACTGTCAGATCCGATCCTCTGCAAGCAGGATTTTTGGGTGATCCTTTATTGATCCCTGAGTGAAGAAATTCATCTTTTGCTTGCCACCCTGCAGAGAGAGGTCAAAGCACAGGGTTAGCAAGAGCTGGAAGGGATTCGGTATCTTGCTCAGGGACACTTCAAAAGCACGGATTGCTGCCATCACAGATGCTTGAATCCTGGCTCGAACCTCCACTTCCAACTGAGGTTGTTGAAGGACTTGGCCCTAATCACTATGCCTCCCTTGTGCAGCTTAATGTCAGCGTTTACACTCTGTGCTGTGTATTAATTCATCTCTCCTTGTCTCCCGCTCCAGAAACACGACGGCCAGTTCACAGTGATCCAGCTGGTTGGCATGCTGCGTGGCATCGCTTCAGGTATGAAGTACCTGTCAGACATGAGCTACGTTCACCGAGACCTGGCAGCTCGAAACATCCTGGTCAACAGCAACCTGGTGTGTAAAGTGTCTGACTTTGGCCTGAGTCGGGTTCTGGAGGATGACCCAGAGGCTGCGTACACGACAAGGGTAAGACACACTTGCACTTGCTGCAACTGTCATAAACAAATGGTGCCTCCAATTACAGTTGACCTAATCATTGACCTCTACATAGTTGGATTCAGTCCAAATCCAAACCCGATATGCATAAAATTATTTTTAAAAAGCTCTAAAATAGACCAGAGGGTAATGAGATCTGATCCAAAACATGGTCGACACATAAAGACACAAAGAAGAAGAACAATATGTGATTTTTCCTTCGCAATCCACACTCTCCATCTTGCCTTTAAAAGAAAATTGTTTTTCTCCTGACACACTGCGTGATCAGAACTGATTCAGAGCTGATAGCGCTTCCACTCTTATCCACTCAGGTATTACCCTTACTCACACCTACGGACTCAAACACAAGCAGCACAAGACGCTGCTCTGAATTGTAAATGAAACCTCCAAATACCTGGCAAAAGGTGTGATGTGGAGCAGTTGAGATAGTTACTGCAAATTCCCTCCGATATGGGGGAGTGGAAACCCGGCAGGAACCAATCGTGCTTATTTTGATTCTCTCAAGCACTTCAAACAAATGTAGGAAAAGCTGATCATCGCAGGTGAAACAGTTTCCCATTTTAATATAGCTTTAACAAGCTACTTGAAAATGATGCATGAAAACACATCGCTCAGAAAATTAAGTACTTTGTTTTCCAGAATAGAAATGGGAGAGAATGACTGTCCAATCAGAGCTGAATATGTAAATGATCTAAGGCTTTTTCTATGCACACAGACTTTTTTCTCTCAAATTTTGTTTGCAAACTTGTTTAAATCCATTTTAGTGAGCACTTCTCCTTTGCCAAGATAATCCATCCACCTGACAGATGTTGCATATCAAGATGCTGATGAAACAGCATCATTACTACACGTGTGTGCCTTGGGATGGTCACAACAAAAGGCCACTCCTTAACTTGCAGTTTTATCTTGAAAATGGGTTTGTTGGGATTTCCCAGGACTAGCACTACAGAAATGCATGTTTGGTCACAGATATCCCAAAGAATCAGTCAGTATCTGGTGTGACCACCTCTTGCCTCATTCACTGTGACACATCTCCTTCACATAGAGTTGATCAGGTTGTGAGCCTGTGGATTGTTGGCCCACTCCTCCTTAATGGCTCTGTGAAGACGCTGGATATTGGCAGGAGTAGGAAGACATTGTTGTACATGCCAATCCAGTGCATCCAAACATATTCAGTGGGTAACATGTCTGATGAGTTTGTGGGCCATGCAGGAACTGAGATGTTTCCAGCTTCCAGGCGTTGTGTACAGGTCCCTGCACTATGGGGCAGTGCAATATCATGCTGCAGGTCATGGCAGTGGATGAATGGCAAGACAATGGGCCTCAGGATCTCAGCACAGTATCTCTGTGCATTCAAATTGGCGTCCAAGCCATCCACCATTTGCCTAGTACAATGTAAACCAGGATTCATGTGTGAACACAACACTTCTCCAAACTGCCAGATGGCATCAACAGATTTGCATTTTCCCACTCAAGTCAGTGATGACGACGGACTGCAGTCAGGTCGAGACCCTGGTGACAACAACGAGCATGCAGATGAGCTTCTCTGAGGCACTTTCTGATGGACTGCGCAGAAATTCTTTGGTTGTGCAAACCAACTGTTGCATCAGATGTCTAGGTGGTTGGCCTCAGATGATCTGAAGAGGTTGGCTGTGGATGTACTGAGCTGGTGTCGTTGCATGTGGTCTGCGGCTGTGAAGCCAGTTGGATGTACTGCAGAATTCTTGGAAACCACATTGGAGGCAGCTTATGGTTATGAAATGAACATTCAGTTCACAGGCAACAGCTCTGGTGGACAGTCCTGCCTCAAAACTTGCGGCATCTGTGGCTCTGTGTTGTGTGATCAAACTGCACATTTTAGAGAAGCCTTTTATTGTGACCATCCCACACCAGACCTTTGTAATCATGCTGTTTACTCAGCATCTTGATATGCCACACCTGTCAGGTAGATGGATTATTGTGGCGAAAGAAAAGTGCTGCTGAGTCATGAGTGGCAAGAGGGAGCCTGCTACTTTGAGTCCATATGTGAACAGGTTGTCAGGCACACAGAACTAATACCCATGGCGACAGAGTGGGACCTTAAACCAGTAAGAGTGGTTATAATTTGGATGACTCATGCCCAGTGTTGGGTCTCAGTTACTGCACGAGGGACTGAGTGGATCATGATGACCTCTTCTCTGCATTCATAAAATGTTTCTGTAATGACAGGACAGACATAAGCCTCTAAAACTGTGCAACAGTGCTGTTGGTTTTCTAAACAGTTAAAGTTTTGTATGAGGTCATGGCATGCCACTGATGTCATAACTGTATACTGTTCACAAAATTAAATGCACACATGGACTGAATGCATGGACACTGCGTGCTCCTGCCTACATACAGTCAAATCAAAAAAGTCTTCGGTAACATCATCATCCTCTCACAGAGCACGGAGAGAATGAAGAAACTCAAACGTCAGTGAGTTAAACCACTGCGGAGTAACTCATCTAAAATGCCCACAAGGAGATGGCATTATTCATATTCATAGGAAGTGTTGGGGATGTTATTTTTAATATGGCATTAGCATTGCCCTGGGAGGAGTGTATCAGCCGCTGACTGCTCTATTGCAATCACACACACACCCCCACTGATGTCAGGAGACCTAGATGGAGAGCTGCAGGCATGAAGGGGGGGAGAAAGGGAGAGGCCGAGGCCAAGATGGGGAAGAGACAGAGAGAGAGGAGTAGATATCAAATAAGACGGAGATCGAGGGAGGCTGAGAGAGAAAGGGAGGGAGAGGAAAATAAGGGAAGGCAGGGGAAGGATCCAGTGAGAGCAGTTAAGAGGATGGGGTAGGGGTGGACAGGGGGTGGTGGAAACAAAAGTACAGTGCCGAGTGACTTGGCAGCTTTGTCTTTTATTTGACTTTGACCAAGCAGAGATGGGGAATGCTAGGTGGTGCAGAGGCAGCTGCCGCATGTTAAAAAGCTGAACCGAGCCCTATAGAGGTACGGGGTGTGCGCGTGTGTGCGTGTTAGACAGAGCGAGAGAGAGAGAGGGTGGGGGTATCTTACTGCCTATTGTGTCTATACAGTGGGTTTATGGAATTCTTTTGATCTTCGCATCAACAACAAAGGCAGGAGCAGCATGGTCAAAAAGAAAGATGGCAAAAGAAAGTCAAGCGTAAGGATAAACAGCAGAGCAAAGATTAGAGAGGAGTGTTTTGTTAAGTTGGTGTATAATCTCACCTGCTCTGTTCTTAAAGGCAGCACTGCACCGAGCTTTTCCGCAGCCACCATCGCTTAATTTGTTTCGTCAGCGCTGTTCTTGATTTATTAAAGCCCTTAGCCAAAAACAGACTAATAAAGCAACTTTTACATATTTACACTGTTGCAGACAGGGTGTCCAGGGTGACATATTCAGTACAAGAGTGTGATGATTGTGTTTTGTGCCATCTCCAGGGAGGGAAGATCCCCATCAGATGGACAGCTCCAGAGGCCATAGCCTACAGGAAGTTCACCTCAGCCAGCGATGTGTGGAGTTACGGTATCGTCATGTGGGAGGTGATTTCATACGGCGAGAGACCCTACTGGGAGATGTCCAACCAGGATGTGAGTCACCAACACATACATCATGTCTCAGTTACAGTGACTTCTACTAAAGCCCCTTTGACACTGCCGTTTCAAGGCGTGAGTGTTACGCCTTTGTTCCGCCTCGCTGTTCTATATAAAAGTACAACCGCAAAACAGGGGGACAGAGTTGAAGTTGTTCACCTTGAAGCCACCAGCAGAGGTAGCAACAGCATCGAATCAACATCTCTGTAAAAGGGACAGGTGGCAGGACGGGATGGGTGTGACATTTTGATGACGTGTGAATATGTGTGATCCACAAGATTTAAATAGGAGCTAGTAGCAGTTAGCAGCTAACTCAAAGAAGAAGAACATCCAAAAATGTACGCAAAGAGGAAGATCAATGAGGTCTGAGAACTCCCAACCTTGAGGATGAGATCAACCCCCATATAACAGGGACAGTAAATGATTGTTACTGCAATGTTATCCTATTTGTATTGTTAAGAAAGCACTGCCCGACACGTATGCTGTATGTCACACCAGGGGCCATGGCTGTTGTGTTACCCGTCACGCCTCTTTTGCTTACAGAACATCAGCATGCTATCTAAAATCACACACTGGGGCGACATTATGCTGGCATTGTTTGGTTCAGTATAAAAAGCCAAGGTGGCATAGTTAAGGGTCTTCATTGTGGCTGCATCACATGATCTCTGTGTAAAATGGGCTTATGTTTTCCTCAATCTCCAGCTCATTTCTTAACTATGAAAGGGAATATGTATTTCTCTCTGTTATACTGATCACAGAACCTGATATTTTACCCTCTCTCCCTGCAGGTGATCAAAGCAATAGACGAGGGCTACCGTCTTCCTGCCCCTATGGACTGTCCTGTGGTGTTGCACCAGCTCATGCTGGACTGCTGGGAGAAGGGACGCAGCGACAGGCCAAAGTTTGGACAGATTGTCACAATCCTGGACAAGCTCATCAGAAACCCAGCCAGCCTCAGAGAGCTGGCCAACAGCTCAGCATGGTTAGTGGGAGACAGTTGTGTATTAAAGTTGTGAAGCAAACACTTTCACTGACGCACGCATATAATCTTGAGATACTTGGATTAGATTATGGGACGGTACACGCATACAGTGGAAGACACAATCACAGCCTTAGATCTGGATTGTAAATCTACTTTGTCAGTTTTGAAAATTGTGCAAAGTAGGAAATGTCATTTTTTTCCAGTAAAATCACATTCTTATCTTTTCCCAGCACAGTAACATTTGTCACTGAAAAGGTATGAATATAGGTTTTTCAGCTGGCATATCCATAGTCTCATTTTCAATTTAGACTCCCTGCCTCCCCAGTTGTATTTTACACATCTGTAAAATATTATTATTTTACATTTACATTTTACACTTCAGGCATTTAGCTGATGTTCACAACCTGACCAGCATACAGTGTGTGCAACATAATATGTTTCAGTCTCTTTCAAAGACGACAGGAGATGCTCAGAACAGAGAAAATAACAAAATCTCAGCACAGCAGAAAAGTCAACAGGGACACAAAAGCAAGACTGACAAAAGCCTACACACTGAAGACACAAAGAGCAACGTGACCAGAAAGAAGATACTTATACACCGGTGTTGTAGACTATGGCATGGCATTAAAGGAACAGTTCACCACAACATCAAAACTACATATTTTCCCTCTTGCCTTTAGTGCAATTAGCAATCTAGATTATTTTACTGTGAGTTGCTGAGTGTTAGATATGCAAGATTATCTATGGACCTTGTTGTGAGCAGTTTTATGTAGGAACTATTTTCTTTCAACTGAAGTACATCCACCAACCATCACTGCGCAGAAGGAAGCATGGATTTTGAGTAACCAGGTTATGATTACTGGAAAGAGACATTGCTGTTGAGTTTTTCTAATGTATTTTTTGGCGCTTTGAGCATCCCAAGCTGAGCTCCAGCTTGTTTAATTATATTGGTGAGAAGGCAGACATCTCTGCAGCCGATATTTAACTGTCAGCAACTCACACCAAAACAGCCTAGATTAATAAATAGCACAGCAAGTAAAAAGAAAAATATTTTTGATTTTAGGGTGGACTGTCCGTTTAACTGGAGTATATATAGCATTGTATGTAAGTGCAGATGCAATTAGCTCTACATATGCAAGGTATTTACTAAGTTGGATCATGCAAATAAACAAACACAAAGATCATTTATAACAATTTATAGCAATAGGAAGCAAACAAACGAGTCAAAGGGTGAGAAAAGTAAAGCCACGTGTGCTTATACTGGGGGGGGGGGGGGGGGGGGGGGGCGGAGGGGGGGGGGGGGGGGGGGGGGGGGGGGGGGGGGGGGGGGGGGGGGGGGGCAGTGAGGGGATGAATCATTAATCATACTTACCCATTAATGGCTAGGTTAAGTTCAGGGTTTATGCTTTCTTTTCACGGTGGATTTGAGTCTGCCATGCTGCAGTTGTTGCAGACTTTTAAATTATTCTGTCCAAATGCAGATAGAGCACTATGAATGAGCATTAACTGGCTCCTCGAGTGACACTGCTGACACTTCTTATTCCTATGAATTGCCATAACAAGAGTTAGACTTAATAACAGCTCCAAGGACAAATAATTGGTCAGCTTCAGTCAGAAACTGTTATTTAGCCACTCAACGGGACAACATTTCATTGAGTTGTGAGTGTGCTTTGTATCCCAGCAGGGAGGACCTGTCCACCCCAGAGTTCAGTGTGAGCACAGTGGATGAGTGGTTGGAGGCCATCAAGATGGGCCAGTATAAGGAGAACTTTTCCAGTGCTGGATATGTCAGCTTGGACTCAATCCTCTACATCAGTGTCAGGTACAGATGGCTGGTGAATCATCCCAGTTAAATTAAAATAAATTAAACTCTCAAAAGGTCACCATTGTCAGTAAAAGACGTAGTATATTCCAGATGAGTGTCATTTTAAAATTTAAGAAGGGGATATACACAAGTATTTTGGAATTGAAACCTTCGCAGCTGCGTGACATTTGAGGGATTATGTCGTTTTTTTCTCTGAAAGTGTCATTAATGAATTATATTTGTCCTTTCTTTCTGTCCTCCTTGCAGTGAGTTGGCTAAGATGGGTGTGAGTCTTGCCGGCCACCAGAAGAAGATTTTGTCCAGCGTGCAGAGCCTGCAGACCCAGGGGACACACGTCCAAGTATAACAGTTTCCACAAAAACACACAGTGAGACAGAGCCAAAATGGATGCTCCTGTGAAGAGTTTCCCAACTGAAATGGAGTTGTAATGGATACTCTGTGCTCGGGCCTCCATTGATTTTGAGACACACTGAGACGGAGACAACATGGACGCTTGACTCCTTCACCTTCTCGCAGTTTCACCATTCTTCCCATCCCTCGATGGGCACTACCGGCTTTAGCACTCAGCAGCAACACAGCCACCATTACGGAGCAACAGAGAGACACACGTCCAACAACAAGGCCACATCTAGAGCATCCCAGACCATTTCACATCATATCAGCTCAACAAAAGAAGAAAAAAAAATATTCTTAACAAAAGAAATGACAAAAAAAAAAAAGAAATTAGAATATAATTATCATCACTGTCTGTGAGGTGTACAGTTGTTTTTTACTGTCATTTTGTTTCTGTTCGGAGTTTTCACCTTGAAGAGTTTAAAAAGGGTCAGAAGATATGTATATGTGTAGATATATGTTTATATGGGCTGTGCGTCCCACAACCGTAGAGATGGACCTAACGTTTGTATTGGTGGTGAGGTTTATATCGCTCAACCTTAATGGGAGTTATTACCTAGTACATGTATGGCCCCTTCCATTGTATACAGAAAGCCAATAAGTGAGCCAAGGTACTGAATGACATGAATGTGTGGGGTGAGGGGAGCAGAAAACTGGACCTTTAGAGATAGAGAGGGATGTAGATTTTGCTAGCTCATGTAGGATGGAAGTATGACTCATTTAAATAGTGTATTTGACCAGGGCAAGGGCTTCCCTAGAGACTGCTCTCAGACACACTTCCATAGCAACTAGACCCAGTGCACCTTTGCCAGTCTGCTTGCACTTGTGATGTAACTGAGTGCAAAGAAACTGCTTGAGCTGCAGTTGGCACAGATACATTTTTACTCTTCCATAACTGACTGTCTATTCCAAACAACATTGTCTATTCAGCTGTTACAGCACAATGTTGTTGGGAATATTTCAGCCCAAAAGTTTGCCTTCCCATGTTTCAGGTGTGTTAAGAGAGTATTGTGTAGAGTGAAGGTGATGCCAAGGTCATCATAGAGTTGACACTGTTAAGAACGTTTACCTTGTTTTTCCAGTGTTGTGCCATGTACAGTAGTAACCTTGAAATGTTCATCTGGGCAATGTAACACTGTTCCTATGTTACTGTGTCCTTTCATCAGCTCCCATGGCTGGATGGTAACACAAGGCCAGTCACAGTAATTACATTGTTTTGTTCAAACAGTCTGCTTGATGAAAAGGAGCATTGGAATGGAGCCCTTTTTTTCCAGAAAGATGAAATATACGCAGTGTTGATTTTCAGCTGTGCCACCACGAGAGGGTAAAAAAAAAAAAAAAGATGATTTGTGTGTCTTGTACTGTCTCACTTACTTGTTATCAGTCATGCCAACCTGTTTCAAGCATCCCTAGTTTCAAACCAATACTGATAAGGTAAATTTACAAAACAATGTTTACAGCGAAAAGCAAATAAATTGGTTTGTTGGTTTTTCCTTATCAGAGGAAAACTGCTGCTTATCACATTAAATACAAGCTTAGATATGATGGGACCCTCTTTGTGTGCACTGCATTAATGGCACTGAATTTGTTTTAGTGTATTCCCAAACCCAGTTTTAATATATGTGGTACTCTATAGGACCAACAGTGGCATAAAGTACAGTATATATGATTGTATCATAGTGTAAAATATGTACAGTGTTGATTTCCAATGTTAGAATGTTTGTAATGATAACGATGATGATGACTATGATGTACTTTTATTGTGAAAAAGAGATTTCTGAAGTACTCGTTCAGGGGCGGGTCATACAGAAGAAAGGTGAAGGAAGGTGGTCTGAACAAAGGAATGTAGCATGGCGCGAAGCTTCAGCTTTGATGGACAGGTGACAGTGACTGCAGTTTCTACCATAGTGTTAGGATGAGTAGAATGGACTTTCCTTATTGATACACTGGCTTCATTTGCATACCTCCCGTAAACAGTAATTACATGCACTTTTCAAGCCTGCGTCCACCAACGAAACAACCTGTAAAAATGCTTGTTTGGGTGAGGTAGAGATGGAAGGAGGGAGGTCGAGAAAAGAGACGTCCTCAGATTGAATTTCTATCCACTGACATCACAAACTGAACAGTAGCTAAACCCCTCCCCCAAGCGGAAACTGTCCAGTCATAGCTTAGTGACTGTAACTAGGAACGGCAGACCTGTCATGCTCTGCATTTCTCCGCATGCTTAAGGGATCTGCATGTAAGAATATGGAGGGTGGTGACTTTTTTTCAACCTTTCCAAAATCCAAAATACAAGAGCACATGTGTATGGAAAGGATTAAACAGTGTGTCTGTCTTCTAATCTAAACTGCAACCGTTAGCATGTCATCCAACTCACTAACTACCTATAATAGTAATAAAGCAATACTTCCACTGCCAAGGTGCACGTCGCTAATAAACTAGATTACATCTGTTTGAGCCCCATTCACAACTAGCTCATCCACTGTGTTGTAAAGCTGGTCTCGGAGCCATCAGATTCAAGGACACCGTTAGCTCTGCTACGTTTGGCAAATACATCTGTTCGTCCTCATACTAAAAGCCTTACGTTTAGTGATGTCAACAGTGAACCATGTTATTTGAAAATCTAAAAACGGACGGCCTCTTTTAAACCTCTTTTTCAAGTTTTTTTTAAATTTTAAAACATTAAAGAAGACAGCCGGAGACTGTTTTCAGCCAACTCATGGAGCCAACGTTAGTTTAACTAGCTTAGCCAGCTAGCTTTAGCTATTACAATATGCCAGTTACTAATGTCCTTTTAGCCAGAAAAAAATGTTCGGTGGCTAGAAATGAGAAGTCTGTTTTTGTCTACCTCTGTCTGAAATCAAGGACCCAGTGCTTTAAAAATGACCAAGCGCTGCTCGAGTCGCGCTGCTTTCGCGAGCAAGCTCAAAAATAGAAAGGGCGCCGATTTAGTCGCGGTATTCAACAAAGAACACGAGTTTGCGTGTGTTATGACCTCTCTCGGCCACCACAGACATCTCCCCCTTGACCAAGTGAGACCTGACAGGCAGATGTTTCATGTAATTACCCATTTGTAGTGCTAAATATTAATTCTCAAAGCTTAGGAATAATCAATGGCGTGTGAACCTGTCCATCTTGGGCTTTGGGTCCAAACTCACTTCTTCTTCTTTGGGGTTTATTGGAGATTTGCAAACATGGTGCACTACCACCACCAACTGTTGGGGCTTGGTTTGTATTTTGACAGGACAGCAGTGGTAGCTGCGCTATGCGTCTGTTCGGTTTTGGTGCGAATACACGTGTGCTGCCGCAACACTTGTGGATCGCTTGCGGTGTAAATGAGGCCTTAGAGTTAAAGGTTAAAGTTTGAAACAGATTTAATAAAGTAGTGAATTTAGAAATACACAAGTTCTGTTTTTTGATTTTTATCGTGGTATCAAATGAGTATAGAGAATCGTGGAAATTCACTGGTATTGGTATCGACTACTGAAATTCTGGTATCGTGACAAGCCTAGCAGTAGCTAAGCGGGCAGGGCTTAGTGAAATGTCAGCTGGGCAGCAGTTTGAAAAACCACTATCAGGCCCTTTAGTTGTGCTTTTTCTGCCCTGCTGTTTCAGAATACAAAACAAAGTACAGTACAATTGGGAGAGTCTGAAACTGTTAGTACATTCTACTCTTGCTAACTCTATGATTTCACTCTAGCGGACTACCCTTGACCGCTGGCCTTTTAGATGCCTTATTTACTGAGCTATTGTTCTTTTCTGTTGCCCTATAGAGGCGATATTAAGAGTAAAGTGTATGTACAGGTAGTATTTATCTGTGTTCTTAAGATGACCTCACATCAACACCCTGGTTTTGTAACATCCCAGAGACCCCCACCCCCACCCCCCCCCAGCAGCACCTTCACTTTGACTCCTCAGAGCAGAACAAAGCTGTTTTGTTCTTAAAATATTACGAGGAATCTTGAAGCTGATGACCTGTAAAAGCTGTTGTTATTTATTTGAGTCATAAGATATTCAATTAGATTATGGATGTTGTTAGCTTAGAATTTGATATAGGCTATATTTGGTTGCAAAATTATTTCCACTTGCTAAATTTCCTCATGCAGTGTCAGGACTAGAAAAAGAGTTTCACTCAAAAAATATGGGTGCATTGCGACAATGTCCTCCCTTTTTACAAGTTTGTTCAACACCACCACTTTCTAAATTTTAAGAAAACAGGGGTCATACCCACACTTTGGTTCCAACTCTCAAAACCCCAGGTTTGTGTCACTATTCACCCTATCCAGGTTAGCTATGTGGGATGGTTTGCTTGATCTCAAATACAGTGTTTGTCCTTCATTCCCCACCAGGTCTGTATTGTAAGTGTTCATGAGTGACTCTCATTCAAGACTTTCAGCTCTCTCCTCTCTCTCTTTCTTTGGCCACCATACAATGCTTATTTGTCCCCATGCCAGTTTCCTCTGCGTTGCTTGTTGTAAAGGGTGTAGGCATTCTAATGTCTTTCATGTTGCTGTAATAAATATGCTAATATTTCTAATTTCTCACCTGAAGCCTGCAGTGTCTTTTTCTTTCACACATTCCTCTGCCTGTTTCTTTCTGTCTCCCTCTCAGACACACACACAATTCCACAGTACAATTACAGCGCAGAAGACGACGGTGTAAAATTCGTAATGCCTTTACATGAAAGTGTTACGAAGCCCTCGCTTAATTATTTTTTGCTGTGTAACAAAGCCTAAAGGTTTTGCATTTGGTTTTGCGAGCGTCTGGCCAGCCGTGTAGAAAATCAGTGCATGGCCGGGATAGCAGTGGTGAAATTCCCATCATAACATTCTTGAATCGCAAAAAAATGGCTGTCCTGCAACCACATCTTCATTATCAGTGTGTGTGTGTGTGTGTGTGTGTGTGTGTGTGTGTGTGTGTGTTCCTTACTGAGAGATAATTCTGTCTCGTGGGAGGGGGAAGGTCAGCGACTCCTGGCCTTGGTTAACCCCTTAATGCACTGACCCACTTGCTGTCACTCTATGTTACCGCCATTACACCTCATTTACCCCATCATATTAGGCTCCATATTCCCCTATCGCTCGCTCCCTCCATCTCCCTTTCGCGCACACACACACACACACACACACACACACACACACACACAAACACAGCTAGATATCCAAAAAAAAAAATCAGGGCCTGTTCTCCATTTCCTCAGTATCTATCTCCTCCTACTGCCCTCCTCTTAATCTTTCTGCTGGCCTTGTGCATCCCCATTTTTTCTCCCCCATCCTATCCATCCTGTGCAGACAGACAGAAAGGTTGTGGCTAGTTCCCTGACCTCGACTGTCCCATTATCTCCCCTCTCCTTGCTTTCTAATTTCCACTACCTCCATCCATCTATCCATCCAAAACTTTTCTCCACATGCCACCCTCTCTTTGAGGCCCGTTGCCTCTTTATGCCTCACTGCGATCACCACTGGGTTCCCTTTCACCATTAAAGGCCAATCCATAACTTTGGGCTTTTGTCTCCAGGTGTCTCAACAGGGAGAATGTCATCTCACGTATTTACTCTGGATAACATGGTGGCTACTGGGAGCCAAAGGCTTAGGCGATTGATTCATCATGCAGCTGCTATTGGCATCATGCGAAAAGGTCAGGTGTCCCTATGGAGAACACTTTAAAAGGCCATTGGTGACTGATGAGCCTGTCATGTTTGTATCACATACATGCACAAGCACTCTGTCGCTCACTCTCTGTCTCTGCCTTGCTCCCTGTTCCTCCTCTCTGCACTCTCTCTGAGTAATACACACACATACACCCACACACACTTTCTCTCTCTCCCATGGGAATGGTAATTGGGCCCCTCTGTCATGCTGTCGGGCATGGGTTTGAGTGTCCCCTCATGTGCAACAGCAGACATTAAAATAACACAAGAGACCAAACAGCCATAGATCCATCGTGACCTCTGCAGGGTCAGCCATATGTGTACGTGTGTGTGTGTGTGAATGTTACATCTCTGTGCTCATAATGCTTAATGGGACTAAAAGCAATGCTCACATGTGAGTAAGCCGTGTGAGCATCAAAAAGTGAGACAAAAAGAAAGAAGTAGATAACATCTAAACCAGAGGAAGATTTCATCAGTCAATGGTAAAAAATTTGCTCGAGTTCCTGCTTTGTCGCTCTTGACTGCATTGCGTGTGTCCTCCCTAATCAAATATGGCCGAGTTCAGACGGGCTCAGTGTTTGGCGATCAGTGCACTCGCACACACATATGCACACATCAGTGCTCTTCTGTCTCATGAGGTTTTAGTTTGCTATCAAAGCGATTTCCTGTCTCAAATTTTCATCAGTAATCAAAGTTCCTGATTGAATTTGAAAAGTGAGCCCAGCTCTATAAATCACATTACATGCCTCACTCCCATCATGCCTGCTCTCATCAGCCACAGGAATGAGACGCCACCCTGGGTGTAAGTCTGCGTCATGGTGTCTGTGTGTGTGTGTGTGTGTGTTCTTGTGAATGCAGTGGAACGGGAAAATGGATGTTGACAGAAGTGTGATTTGATCTGTGCAATTTTTTTTTGTTGGGACAGATAATACAAAAAAGAGAGAAGAATGGTGAAACCACAATAAAGATAACACACCTGGGTCTGATTGTGTGTGGACATAATTATTGGCATTTGTTGTAATGCTGAATGGATCCCAGATAGGGTGAGTATATATGCATCAGTGCAGCTCAAATAAGAGATGAAGTCAGGCGAAAGTGAATCGGGTTAAAAAAAAAAAAGACTCTAAAATGCTTTTGTTGTTCGGATGGATAGATTAGTGAACAAGCCCAGGGGCCCAAGGGGTTAGAAAGCCCCAAACAAATCCAATCCAATATCTGTTTTTCATTATTTTTTCGTTCATATTACAGCTTCATAGCATGTAGAGGCTACAGTAACATTTCCTCAATATACAGTATAACTAGTAAAGCAATTTACATTTAAAGTTTGACAGCAGAATAACACTGCTTCAAGTAAAAAAGAACATGCACTGGTTTCCCATGCTGTTTTGTATAGTGTGCTGTAATATGTAGTGTAGTATCTGTGCAGAAAAAAAAGTTGGTGTGGTTTTTGCTGTGGCAAGAAGGTTTGGACAGGAGTCAGATAATCTCTTGTCATCTCCAGTGTGAACTTAATACTGAAGTACTGGTGCAGTTTTTGAACCAACAGCAGCACTTGAACGTTCAGGTTCACCTGCAATATGTCACTAAAAATAGACACAAAACAAAAGAGAGATGCTTAATGACTACAAAAAGATGCAAAATAACCACAGAGTCACACAACAACTACAAAGAGATGCTTAATAAGAACAAAGAGACGCAAAACAACTACAAAAAGATGCAAAATAACTACAAAGAGTAAAAAAAACAGATGCAAAAAGAAAGCAAAGAGAAGCTAAACAACTACAAAATGGTGCAAAACAACTAGAGTGACAAAATGAAACCGAAGAGATGCCAAACAACTACAAGATGCAACATAACTACAGTCATAAAAAAAAAAGTCATAAAAATACACAAAGAGATGCAAAATGAGAACAAAGAGATGCAAAATGACTACATAATGCCGCAAAACTACAAAGAGAAACAAAATGACACTAAAGAGATGTCAAACGACTACAAAAAAAGATGCAAAATAACTAGAAAGAGTCACATAACAGCTACAAAAAGATGCTAAATAAGAACGAAGAGATGCCAAATAACTACAAAGTGTCACAAAAAACACAAAGAGATGCAAAATGAGAACAAAGAGATGTAAAAAAGACTAAGTAATGACGTAAAACTACAAAGAGACACAATATGACGCCAAAGAGATGTCAAACGACTACAAAAAGCGGCAAAATAACTGGAAAGAGTCACAAAACAACTACAAAGAGATGCTAAATAAGAACAAATAGATGCAAAACGACAACAAAAAGATGCAAAATAACTACAGTCACAAAAAACACACAGAGATGCAAAATGAGAACAAAAACAGGCAAAATGACTACAAAATAAAGCAAAACCACAAAGTGAAACAAAATGACACCAAAGAGATGTCAAACGACTACAAAAAGATGCAAAATAACTATGAAGAGTCACAAAAAACCACAAAGAGATGCAAAATGACAACATAATGACGCAAAACTACAAAGAGAAACAAAATGACACCAAAGAGATGTCAAATGACTTTAAAAAGATGTAAACCTAGTGCTGCTCAATTGATCAAAATGTTATTGAATTAAATAGCATTCATAGTGAAATAGCACTGTGTTGCTAGAGAGATGACACGGCCTATAAATCGTATTCCAGACTCGGGAACACACTTGTTTGGTACAGACTTGTAATGTAATCACAATATCTGTCAAAAATATTGCAATATGATTTTTTTGTGTATTGTGCAGCATTGTGAAAAATGACATATAAGAGATGCAAAACAACCACAAGACTTAAAGCAATAACAGATGTAAAATGACGACAAAAGGAGTTGCAAAACAACTATAAAAAGATGCAAAGTGACTACAAAGAGACTCGAAAAGAAAAATACGGATGCAAAATGACTACAAAGAAATACAAATCGATTACAAAAAGACACAAATTGGCTAAAAAGAGATGGAAAACATGAACAAAGAGCCACAAAATGACTAAATGGAGACTGTGCCCAGGCCCTCAGGTTGTCTCATAATCCATCCATGGTTTTTGGCATCAAATAAGGTAAAAACTGCGGTATTTCCAAATCCAGTTTGACCCAAGTCAAATAGGTAACCAGAAAAAGAGAATCAGCAAGAATCCTGGCTGTATTGGACAGCTGTCACCACCTAAAATCAGTAACAGATTTCGAAATGGAGCAGAAGTAGATAGAGGATAAACAGAAAAAGAGGAGAGTGTTTGAGTTTGAAAAAAAAGGTGAAGAAAAACTTGGAGAGGTTTGGAGGGACTGAGATAATATTGACCACATAATCCCTCACAGATGTGGAAATCACTGTTTAATGCCCGGCAGACATGACATGCTGAACTGCTATTGGCTGACTCAAGAGGGACTCTGACCAAAGACAAACTTGCTCTCGTTCAAATCGTGCTCTCTATTGACGGAGAAAAGATGATGAAAATCTAAATTTAGGGCGAACGTAGCAAAACCACATCTGTTGGTCTATACTGTACGTTGCTCAAACAGATTCACACAGGCTGTATATCTTTCCTGGGCTCAGCAGCTCATATGGGGTGATAGTGCCTTTAGAAGCCTTATTTATTTAAGCATAAACACACTGCTAATGTCTGTCTTCTCAAAAATGCACAGGTCTAGCGTGCCTTCCATTGAAATCCCATTATGAGCCCTGTGTGTGACAGCTGATTGCAGTGTGTTGCATGATTTCCTGTGCATGTTGCCTGTGTGTACATGTGTGTGTGTGGAGGAGAGACACGAGTGTTCTTTTGTAGACACCACGTGTTTACATGTGTTTCCTTCTTTCCTGTATAATCAAACACAGCTCTTCAAGTGCCATCAATCAAGCTTTGATGTCACGGGGAAGAGCCTAGAAACCG